CCCCCCCCCACCGATGAATCGGCTGATAGCCGGGGGATCCTGCGTTTGACAAACGCAGGAGCTCCCGCTACCGGCCGGCACATTGGTGGGGGGTCCTGCGTTTAGCAAACGCAGGACCCCCGCCGATGTGTCGGCCACTAGCCGGCGGTCTTGCGTTTGTCAAACGCAGAACCCCCGGCCGGTAGGGGACAATTGGGGGGGGCGGGGCGTCGCGCGTTTACTAAACGTGGTGGGTCCTGCGTTTGCCAAACGCAGGACCCTCAGCGGGTGCAAGTTTCTATCGCGGGGGGGTCAAATGCAGGACCCCTAGCGGGTGCAAGTTTCTATCACGGGGGGGTCCTGCGTTTGACGCAGGACCCCCCTCGCGTTTGGCCCGAGCACCCGCCGGGGGGCCTGCGTTTGGCAAACGCAGGACCCCCCCGCGATTGCCCCTGCAGTCGGCCGGGGGTTCCTGCGTTTGGCAAACGGAGAACCCCCGGCGGGTGCTTGGGGCAATCACGGGGGGGGTCTTGCGTTTGGCAAACGCAGAACCCACCAGATGCAGACCTCCCGGGGCAATCACGGGGGGTCTTGCGTTTGCCAAACGCAGGACCCCTCCCACGACTGCCCCGAGCACTCCACGACACGGGTCGTGCGTTTGGCAAACGCAGGACCCCCCAGCCGACTGCCAGGGCAATCGCGGGGGGGGTCCTGCGTTTGCCAAACGCAGGCCCCCCGGCGAGTGCTCGGGCCAAACGCGCGGGGGGTCCTACGTTTGGCAAACGCAGGACCCCCCTCGCCTTTGCCTCGGGCACCCGCTGGGAGTCCTGCGTTTGGCAAACACAGGCCCCCCGGATGCCGACCGCCCAGGGCGAACACGGGGGGTCATGCGTTTGTCAAACGCAGGAACCCCCGCGCGACTGCCCCGAGGAAACGCGCGGGGGGGTCCTGCGTTTGGCAAACGCAGGACCCCCCGCGCGTTTGCCCCGGTCACCCCCCCATTTTTGTTGGATCCTACGTGGCCAGCGACCGATCCTACGTGGCATTACACATAATGACAATCTCATTTTTGTTGAAAAGTTCGAAAAAAAAAAAGGGGGAGGGTTCGTTCCCCCCCCATTAAGGTCAGCGCCTGATCCTACGTGGCATTACACATAATGACAATCTCAGTTTTGTTGAAGAGTTCGAAGAAAAAAAAAGGGGAGGGTTCGATCCCCCCCCCCTTGAGGCCAGCGACCGACCCTACGTGGCATTACACATAATAACAATCTCAGTTTTGTTGAAAAGTTCGAAAAAAAAAAAGGGGGAGGGCTCCATCCCCTTCCGCTAAGGTCAGCGACTGATCCTACGTGGCATTACACATAATCACGATCTCATGTTTGTTGAAAAGTTCGAAAAAAAAAAAGGGGGAGGGTTCGATCCCC